TAGTTCACATGCTATCATGAGCAAGTGTCACTCTTTGTTTGAAGATTTCATCAGCTTGCTAAACAACTCATGGAAAGAGATATTCCTTTTTTATTTCCCAAGGGGCAGTGGAGGTCCCCAATTTACCCACAAGCTTCATTTGCTGTTATCCCCAGTAGTAGTAGTAGTAGTAGTAGTAGTAGTAGTAGTAGTAGTAGTAGTAGTAGTAGTAGTAGTAGTGATATTGATAGTGACAGTGATAGTGATGATAGTAGTAGTAGTGGTGGTGGTGGATGATAGTGACAGTGATAGTGATAGTGATGATGATAGTAGTAGTAGTGGTGGTGGTGGTGATAGTGATGATGGTAGTAGTAGCCTAAACTACTGAACTGGTGGATACTATTTTAACTACATGTCAAATAGTGATGACAATAACAATGCCGACGATGACGACGACAACGACGACAATGACGACGACAACGACAACAACAACAACAACCAGGGTAGTTGCCACTTCAGTTTCTCTACAGTTGCAGTGTTTGCAGGAGGGTGATGGAGAGGAAGATGAGATAGTGATGACGACAACGATGATGATGACGACAACAACAACAACAACTGCAGAGCTACGATCATCGAGTCCAGCTCCTGATAAGGAGGCACAGTGAGGAATCAACCCACAACCTCTGGTTCTGCAGCCAAATACCTAAACTACTGAACTCAAAGGTAAGTATTAAAAAAGAGTGTCAACAACACACATATGATACTATGATACTATTTTAACTACATGTCAATACTCCTATAGAACCTTGATATCTGGAGTGTGCAAAGGTACTTCTCTGCTGGAGATTTCTAGTGTTGTAAGTCAAATGGGGCACACTAGAGCATTTAGGACAGAAATGTAAGTATATAACAAAAAAGAAAACTAATCCCAGGACTCTGTAGGATGGGGCCCTAACAATTAAACTGGTATCAAACTGGTATATGTATGTAGTGCAGATCCAGTCAAAGTCTTGAAAACTGTTGTACAGAACTGAGTTCTGTTCTGCAGTCCAGGAAGCAGTTGTACTGGGGCTTATCCTAAATAGACATCATATATTTGAATTGTATTCTGTGTGGCTGGTGGAGAAATGCCTGAATTGTCAAGAATTATCTCTTGACACATCCACATTGTTCTAGATCCTACATATGTCCTTGACTTTGTTCACTGCTATGTCACTCCAGAGACACTTCCCAAATTGGAATTGAGAATTGAAAAAGCTTCCACACTCCTGTGCCAAAGGGAAGATCATTTCACATCCCTTTCTCTCCTGTACTGCTTTGTACAGCACTATATTTTCTGAAATATAGCATCACGTCCCCAATTTATACAATTTTCCAAAGGCAAAGAACCTCACAAACAATATGAAGCATGAACGGGAGGAGAATTCTGGTGGGAGTCTGAGAAAGAGAAAAAGACTGATTTTCACATACCCAAAATCTGCATTGGAAAGCACAGGTCTTCTTCTTGGACAAGGGGGTACAGGATATCTCCTTGTACAAGTATGGAAAACATTGAACCACATGGCAATGGATTGTAATATAGGTAGTTCACCTAAACAGAATTTTACCCTTGTTGCTTGCCCTATGTGCAATGATCAAATTAGTATGTATAGCAACAATGATTCTGTGCAAAGCTTGGCTTGGAGATTTTTTCTTGGGGAGCACAGAACATGATTCTGAGGCTCAATTTTGCATTAGAATTTTGTTGCAGATTGTTGGCTAACCTGCCCTTGATGGTTCAGTCAAGAAATGCAAGATTACCATATTCTTCCCACATTCTAGTTCTTTTTATGTGCAGATGGGGTGTTATTTCTAAATGGAATGATAAGCTGGGCATTACCAATCTAGGAAATGCCTTCACTGGAAAAGCTAAATTTAATAAACTTATTATGTAATTATAGAATTATGTGACTCTAATTAATTTCCAATGTTCTTGCAAGCTTTATTTCAGAGATGCTTGCTAAGAAATAAAACCACCACACGTCACTGTTACATAATAAGCATGATAAAATATAGATTTTAGATGACTAGAAAAGTAATACTATTTCAAAAACTTATATATTAGGAATGACAGAGAATAAATTAGGAAAAAACTTATTCTAAGAATGTCAGATGCTCCTAGAAGTAAGAAGAAATGATATACAGTATCTGGGCTGATTATCTTTCACTATCTGCCAATAAAAAGAAAGCCATGCCTGAACTGAAATAGAAGAAAGTTTTTTTTTAAATGTTCCACCCATATGCAGAACAGAGTCTACAATTCAAAAGCCCGTGTTCTTAAAATTTTCATAGCTTTTATTTATAGGGACTTGATTTAAACTTCAGTAGAGATCTGTATCCTTAGGCAAAGAGCTTGGATAAAAATTGCAAAGCCACTTAACATTTCTTTATTATCAAATTTGATTCCATCTGAACAGCTGAATACAGCTGAAATGAATAATTACTTCTGTAAACTATGGCAACTGGAAAACCTTTGTCAGTACAGAGACTCGGTATCATATAATCCTCCTTTTAACTTTCCAGAATATCAGGAAATCCTTACTGCATGATTAAACAAATTATTACAACCAGATCTATAATATGGATCAGTAACTGACCACGATTATCATTGGAAAACATCTATCTCAAATATAAAGTCATTATTCAGTCACAGTATTTTTGCCGAAGTCTTGATAAGCTGTATAGCCAACTACAGGGGGTTTGTAGCACTCTCTAGTTCAGATGTGTAAAATATGTTACCATCTGTCATAATCTGATGAAGACAGAGTAATTTTACACATTTTGAAGTGGCACCTTGAAGGGCTTGTTTACACCTTTGCTGTAATTGCATGCTTGGTACTTTGAAGTGCATTTCTTCAAGCTATTTCTGTTCTCCAAGATTATTCTCAGGAGAGGTCTCATCAGCATACCCTATTGCAGATTCCCCTGTCCCCAGGGGACACACACAGAGTGAGACAGGGAGAAGGAGAGAATGAAGGAAGGAGAGTGTTTGACCCTAGTGCCTTGCATTTTGGTGATTCTGACTTAAATTATTTGTTTTTTTCAATAGATACCTAATGCTTTATTACTTGAATATTTCCTTTTTACCAAGTGTTATCTGGGATTTAATGATGTCACAGCTGTATTTTCATAAAATTGTAAACACTGAAACAGAACAGAGTAAATCCCATGGGAAACAACCCATATGCCAAACATTTGTCACCTGATCAGCAGATGCCAGAAACTCAAGTTGTCCTGTGTCAAATATAGATTTTAAAATAGAAATATGTGGCAGGAAAAATATATAATTTGAATGTGGTGCAAAAGTATTGCCCTAAAACTTTGAAAGTCCCTTTAAAATGTGCCTCATCGAGGCACATCTTAAAAGTGAAAGTATCATTATTAAAAGTAAAAGTATCATAAAAAAGCATATGTGCCTACACTTTTTCCTCACAACTATAAGAATGTCTTTGATGACTTTTGACATTGCTACTTTTAAGCATGGAACCTAGAAATGAGATAAATAAATAGAACTTGTATAGAATCAACAAGTTCTGGAGTGGCCTGGAATTATTGCAACAATGAAGACACTTATAATGAGATACCCAGATGAGTGTACAAACAGCTTGTGACTGATTATTTGGTTTTGTTCCGGTATTACCCCTTTACTGAGATAATGTCAGATATGATGAATCATAGAATCTGTTCTCTTTGCCTGTTAGGTCTGTAAATCTCATAGGACTCCTAGGGGGATCAGTTGTCCAAACCAAGATCTGGATCACACTCAAGCTGCCTTTAATTCACTTGTTGCCAGATAGAAGGTCCAGAGTACAATCTCCTCGGCAGCTTCCTAATCCTGAATGGCAGCAATCCCAACCCTATCTTCCATGTTCCCCACCCTGTACTTCCCGTCACTTAGAACTGTCTTCACACCTGCCAGCTGTGAGAGTGAGCAGCAATATGGGAAAGTAACAAAATGTATATGACCACATAAGAAATACATGACTATCCCAAGAGAGGTAAAAAGTGCCACAACAACACAAAAAAACCCTTCATGCCCCTCTGAGTGACCATCCTGAATGAAATTACTCTTTATTTCATTTCATTTTTTTAAAACAGTGTTTCCATGTTCTCATTACCTCAAACATCAGGCAAAACAATAGAAAAATAAAAATTACAAAGACAACAATGTTGTGGCATCTTAAAGACTAACTTGCGTTTCCTTTGTTTTTGCCTGATATGCTAGCACAGGCTAACATGGCTACCTCTTCTAAAACCATTCCTGCATGTGTTACAAACAGCACGGTTATAGTATTTGTTATTCATTGATTCCAAGTTTTGGTTCAGGGGATATTTAGACATGTGGGGATCCAGTGTTTGTAACTATATATATGGGACAAACTTCAGCAATATCCCTTTACGCAAACAATAATTTCTTTTTTTCCCTTTCTTTCTTTTTTGCCTTGCCTTGCTGTTTTGGCTCTTTTCACAACTACCTGAGCATGTAAAAGACAGATAATCCAAGAAGAGCCACGAGCATAAGAATTAACACAGCCCTATGTGGGGAGACTGTTGTATGGTGTGGGTCTGGCCCTGTGGCTTTCTGGTCTTCTGCTAATCCCATGGTTTATTGAGAGTGATGGGACGAAGTCTCATGACACCTGGATTCCCACTACCATGCAAAACTTGAGTACCATATTTCCTGGTGTATAAGGCGACTGGGTGTATAAGACGGCCCCCCAACATTCCCACTCAGAATATAGAGTTTGTTATATACTTGCTGTATAAGACTCCCCCCTCTTCCGCATGCATGATTCTGCTTTGCCTGCATCATGGGGAGAGTTCCTTTTGCCCCTTTTGGTTCCTTTTTTGAGGCAGCAGCCATTTTGGAGAGGCGACAGCCATTTTGGAGAGGCAGCAGCCATGTGGTCGCATCTCAAAATGGCTGCCGCCTCTCTGCTGTTCTGACAGTCAGCTGTTCGGCGCTAGAGTCAGGCTGTTCCCAGGCTAGAAGCGGGGCTCTACTGGGTCTTACTACCAGGTAAGTGACTTCGCTGGGAGAGAGGGAGGGTTTGCTAGACATGCACCCGGCAGACAAGACGACCCCCCCTCCCACTTGGAGGCATGTTTTTCAGGGCCAAAAAGTCATCTTGTATGCCGGCAAATACAGTATGTTTTATACAGGTCTTTCCACATAACCTCAGACATTCAGTTGGGGAAAGAGAACCCCCTCTGCAAAATCCACTCATCTTCCCTTGTGTAAGGTCTCAGGAGAAGAATTAGAAAAGTTACTTAAACCCATATTCCTGGGCTTGAAAATACAAGTGACAGAGCTAATAGCATTTTAAAGAAACTCACATTACAATTTCGGTATCATTTATTATTTGGATTTTAACCCTGTCCAAGTGCAGCCAGGGTACTTCAGTTTCATGAGGGCAGTGCATCTACTACGGGTTTTTAGCCCAGATTTTCAAAAAGCTGTCCAAAGTGCCGGATTTTGCCCCCACAACAGATTAAGCACCTTGGATATTTCTTTTGAAGTCTAAAGAAAACAACCCAGAGTAGATTCATCATGCCCATGAAACTGGAGTCACCATTAATCTGTTAATCTGTTCCCTTCTCAATTCTTGACATGTGTTACTTTGATGGCAAGTGGAAAGAAGGGAGTTCTTTACCCTTACTACTAGGTGTTGTAGAGTGCTTTGGTTAGGCTTCCCTTGCTATTCCCAGAGATCAACTGATGACAGAGGAAGTCAGGCGGAAGAGATGAGAGGTGTATAGGTAAATGGACTGTTGGTGTTAGGGGCTGTCTGACGTATACTGTGGTTTATTTTATTCACATCCAGCTTGATCTGGCTAGAAGGAATGGTTCCATTACTTGGAATGATAACCCACCTCTTGAGGTTAATGGTTGGGAAAGAACAGGATAAAAAAGTGGGGGCTGTGGGGTCTGGCATGGATCAAACTGCATGGGATTGACAAAACAATCCGTGGTCTCTGTGTGATCTCCTAACTCAAATAGAAAGTGTAAAACGGTCTACCAATCAAGCTGCACAAAGTGTAACTACACTTTGGCACTGGAGGAAGAAAAACTCAGGCAGTGAATACAATACAACAATAACAAACTGCATAACTAACAACATGCCCTTTCCTCATAACCAGAGGCACTACCTGAGGTGGCTGCCTCACCCTTTCCAATAGAGTTGGCTCTGGCAATGTCTATGAAACTTATTCCATAAGGAATAAGTAGGTACTGATTCTTGCAGTAAACATAAATGTACTTACATGCCTGATTCTTAAGCACTACTTAAGATTTGTGAACCAATCCAGCTGGAATTTTCTAGGCCCCTACGTGTTATATCTCAGACATTTTCCAGACAGCAAAGCTGTAACGCGCCTAGATTAGGTGCGATTATTTATTTGCAGGCATTGCACAAAGTGATTGCAGTCTGTAGGAACCTTGGCAGCTTGCCATCTTGATTTGTGTGGTGTCAGCCATTAGACAAATTCCTATTTCAATGGTCAAAGCATGAATCATGGGATGAGATGGATCAGCCAAATGATATGTAGCATAGGACAAATGCCTATTTCCTTAGCATACTAGCCTCCTATCTCATAATTCCACCTGCCCTGAAGGAAAACCTCTCCCTGAACACTTCTAGACTGACAAGAAATTGCCCACAGACAAGTTTAAATCTCCACTGTGACCTTGCCTAGCCAGTGCTTATTCTCTGGACTGGGAATACTGGATGCAAGAGACAGCCATGGTTGGGGCAAACTCTAAAATCACTCACAAAACTTCTGTGACTAGTTCGATGTTTTAGCAATTCAAACCCCCTGTTTTCTTGTAGACAGTCATAGACAATGGCTCTCTTTTAAATTATGCAAAAAAACTGAATATCCGTAGATGATTCGAATCAGTGAACTAAACAAGTCTGCTTTAGAAATAAAGGGCTTCATAGTCAATGTCTAATAATAAAATAATAATTGCCAATTGCCAATTCTGACTTATGGCAACCTTTTCCATGGTTTTCTTGGTATAGAATACACAGAAGAGGTTTACAATTGCCTTCTTCTGAAGCATCCTGGGATTGTGCAGCTTGCCCATGACTACATAGGCTAGCTCTTCTACCAGGAGGCACAGTGGAGAATTGAACAGCCAACCTGTGACTCTACAGCCGGTTACCTAAATCACTGAGCATGCCTATTATGAAATAAATCTATTTCTCCCCAGCTATGTGTGCTTCACTCTGTAACACCCTGGACTTCTGTCTAAGGTGGTAGCCCTCTTCTTTAGATAATATTGACATTCATAAGCGTCAGCATGGAGACCTATCATTTAAAAGTGGCTGCAGCTTATTTGCCTCCTCCTCCATCACTTGGTCCATCCTCCTGTCTCTTCCCCCTTCCACAGCAGTGCAGTAGATCTGGCAGGGGTATGAAAAGAACAGTGGAAAAACAAGATGTCTGCCAACCACTTGGAGATCTTGTGTTGCTGCATGAGAAAGAAAAGACCAAAACTTTTTTCATCACCAGCATCATTAGCAAAATTTTTCCTTTTTGGTCTTCAGGAGAGACCAAAGTTGTCTTGACTGTTGTGTAATTATTCAGAGGCAGTTATTGTTTCTTTCCCCTTCTCACTCTCATGTTCAGACTAGACAATAGATTCAGTGTAGTTTTGGGAAACATGCTTCTTCAAGTAATAAAAGCTGACAGTTGATAAAGGTAAAGGTAAAGGTTCCCCTTGACAATTTTTGTCCCGTCTTGTTCAACTTTAGGGGGCGGTGCTCATCCCTGTTTCCAAGCCATAGAGCCAGCGTTTTGTCGGAAGACAATCTTCCATAGTCACATGGCCAGTGCGACTTAGGCACGGAACGCTGTTACCTTCCCACCGAAGTGGTCCCTATTTATCTACTTGCATTTGCATGCTTTCGAACCGCTAGGTTGGCAGGAGCTGGGACAAGTGATGGGTGCTCACTTCGTCACGTGGATTCGATCTTATGACTGCTTGGTCTTCTGACCCTGCAGCACAGGCTTCTGCGGTTTAGCCCACAGCGCCACCACGTCCCTATGACTGTTCACAGCATATGTTTTTTCTCATCCATCCATCCTGCATTTATTTATTTTTGTAACTGATCACGGTAAGATACACATGAGCTCAATTTGTAAATCTGATTGCAAAATATTTATCTCTAAGGGTTCAGTTTGTTCCTCTTGGTGTTAATCTCTAGTCTGACCTTCAAACTCAATAGATACATTAAAAGAGAGGCAACACAGTATCACTGCTAAGAGTACTAAGCTTTCTGAAACTGAGCAGTTTTAACAACCTATTAAATAACATTCACTATTAATATACTATTACTACTATAGCTATGGTGTCAAATCTCTTTTTTCTGGGTGTTGCCACTGCAGTATGAACAGTATTTTAAATCTTCTCACTGAATGAGTTTTAATGTTAACAACAACAACATGTCCCAACCCTTTACCGAGTTTTCCAGGTATAGAATACTCAGAAGTAGTTTACCATTCCTTTCTGGGGGCCACACATACTTGCAGGAGGAATAATGGGGAATTGAACTCTGAACCTCTAGGCCAGTGAGCTATCCAGCCAGCAGGTGATCAAAACTCATGAAAAGTCTAACAATACTAGAGTGAAGGCATGGGGGAAAATAAACTTTTACTGTGCTTCACCTCAGATTGTCTTGCTAGAACACCTTTTACTGCTCATATACACTTCCACCCAATGGAAGTTAGGAAATTTGTGTGAATATTCATTTGGCCAAGTGCATATACAATGAGAGGACAGAAGGATTGTCAGCTTTCTGAGCAGAAATCACGGTTTAGCAGAGTATTTGGCGGTTCAGGCAGTCCAGAAATAATTCACATGTAGTCCAGCAGCATTTCCTTCAGCATAGTGTATTTACAGCAAAATATATACAGCAGTCTGGCAGCATAGCAGGCAGATGTGATCTTCAAGCAGGTGAAGATATAACTAACTGTACAGCCATACATATATACGTACACAGGACCAATCAGGTTACACATTACCTCATCACATTAACTCATCCCATTACTTCATCTCTGGGTTGCATCAGCCCTGGGTTACATCATCTCTGCTGAGTCATCCTGACTCAGTTTCAGCACACCTGATAGTTATGGCTTCTCATTAAACCACTCCATTCTGTTTAGGCCTGCAATTTTCCTTGACAAGGATGGATTCAATATGAAGTCATGTTAATTCCAAAACAGAAATGGTTTCCCATATCTGCACCTGCCTCTCATTTGGTCTCTCTCACACACTTTTTGTGGAAGGTGTTTCAGAACCATTAAAAAGTGGTTCTCCATCATCTTCCCATTCTGGAACAGACTGCATGTGTGACCTGCCAAACACAGGCCAGCACCACATATTTATTTACTTCATCATATAATTTTCACATGAAGGATGTTGATTCATTTGCAGCACTTTTGTTCTGCTTTCTAGCCAACAGATTTCCAAAGCAGCATGTGGTCAATAAGACAAGCATGGTTTATAATCAACCACACACAAGGCAAAATGTGCAAAGGAAAGGAAGTGGAGGAAGGATGGAAACTGAAACACAACATTCTTGCAGAGTTAACAAGCTAGGCTGAAAATTATTCTACAACAACAGGAGACAGAAAGAGCTGAGGTTGATAGCCTAGAGCTGTATGTTATCTGTCCCTTGACTGCAACATTTTGGATTCAGTGTTGCTGGATTACCATTCTGGAAAGTAAAAGGCACATGCTCTCTCAACAGATTGGATGGAATAACACTTCTTCCCTCCCCATCTCTGCTGCAGGACGATGGAATATGTACAAAGGCCCTTCACATATCTGCATTCAAGAAAGCAATAGTTCTTAACAATTTGAACTGATGGGACAACTTCTGCAATTGCATGAGAAATACCTGAAATTTATGTGACAATAAGGCATTGTATTCACTGGCCATCATAGAATATCTGTAGACAAAATGCTTCATGACTTCTGAGTTTCTTGCTTCCAGGATCAGCTCCATGAACCACTGAAATGGTATCCAGATTGAGGAACAACACCAGGAATGTGTTATTGCCTTAAGTCATGAGGCCCAGAGAAAAGATCCATAGTGCATATGTAGGTCTTTGGGAACATGATTGTAAGACCTGAATGGGTGTTGGGAGTAAAATCAGACATATGGATCTTCAATGAAAACAGCTGTATGGATATTGGAATAAAAACAAATGACGAAATGGAGATCCTGAAAGAGGACAGAGTGAGAAATGAAGAAAGTTGTGTTGAGCTATCAGTCTAGTAAGATACATACTTCCTCCTTGGCATGTCCAGGAAGCACTGGAAGAGCTCCTGTCTAAAATCTTCTGGAACAGCTGCCAACCAGAGTTGACAATACTGGGTTAGATGAACCAGGAATGTGACTCCTAGATCTTTAAAAAAGGAACAAACCTGTCACAGCCAGGGAAGTTGTTGGATATCTTGAAATACTGTATGCACTAGAATAGGATAAGTCACTGTACCATTCATCCTAATTTGGCCCTAGTCTTTGCCCAGCCCTACAGAAGCTAACGGTATTCCAATTGTGCTTCACAGCAGTTGGGGACACCCATGAAGGAATGGAGTAACAGGTGCAGTGGCTGCATCTCAAATGGATGTCTTGGAGCATTTAAGGTAGGAATGCTGTCCTCATGTGAAGAGTTGGGGGCATACTAAAAGCTCCCTAACTAGTAACATATTAGTAACTTATAAGTAATTTATGCTGGAAAACAATAGGTTATAGTGAGTACTCTTAAGGCCAAGGAACTTATATGATTAGATCTTTAAAGTACCTGAGATAATTCCACTGTACTACATTTCGCAAAGCTTTTTCATTTGCACTTTTAACCCCTCATTCACCATACATGCCTTAGCAGAAAGTCTGTCTATAAACTCAATCCATCCATCCATCCATCTGTCAGTCAGTCACTATGTATATGACAACCTAACTGGTAATTTTGAATGAATTGTTTTGTTATACAATTTGCATAGTTACATGGCTTTGAAAACGACTTTGTATTGCTTTCTTTTTTGGTTGACAAGGGTTGTTTCTCTTAGGATGTGGTGCGGAAGAGTTCACAGAAAGATGCAGGGAAGGAAATGTGTGATTGGAGCCTTATGAGGAAGAGGAGTTTTCAGTGTGTTGTAGGCTTTTCTGAAAAATAACCTTTAATGATATGAACTAGAAGCTTAGAAAGAAAAGGAAAAAGGGAGTTAGGGTCCCCAAGGAATTGATGCAGTAAATCTGAGATAGCATTGGCATCCTTTCTGAGGAAAACACCCTTGTTCCCATTAGAACTGCCTAGGATTGAATGGTGATGCTTTTCTCATAACAATATCCTCCTGTTTGGTGGGAAAGCATTCAACAGTTGAATTTCTGTCTGCCCTGCAGGTATTAAAGAAGCACTAGATATGTCAGAGGGAGAAAAAACAATAACTAGGCAACTTCTGTTGGAGGCCCATATGCCATCTTCTGCAAACATGCTGATTCCCCTTGCCTGACTTAAAGGGGAAACACTCTCAGCAACAGGAAACATAAGAAGAAAGAAAAGCAAACTGGGGAAAAAATTAAGATGCAGGAGAATGGTTTGTATTTACCGTTATGTTCTCTTGACTTTTGTTCCTCTAGGACAGCTAAGGCAGTTGAGTTTCATTGTTCCCTGAGTAGCTCATGAATATTTCAGTTCCAAATGGCTGAATGTTGTTTTTATTAGCCTATTTAAATAGCAGCACCAGTATGTTTTCCTGCATGTGGCTGAAAGGGGGAATATTGGCAGTGTGAGGCAATAAACAAAAAAGAAATACATAGTGTGTGGCTGTATATAAAAGTAACAAATGAATGCTTTTATGGTAGTGCATCGCATCTCAGGCTTGACTTAATGCATCATATATTTTAAAAGCCTCAATTTCCAACGAATACATACTTCTTGGGATACAGGTCCATTTGACTCCCTTCCTCCTCCACAAAGCTATCAGGCTGAAAGTCTAGGCAATTCTGATATTGCTGTCTAATTTCTACACATTTTTACAGTGCTTCTTGGCACCTCCCTTGCTTTCTTTCCTTCTTATCTATATTATATTGTGGCTGTAATGTAAAGAATTAAAACTTCAGACCCAGGCAGGTTAAGGAGTGGAAAGCCATCAAGATGAAAAGAAACTAAGAAATATGGAGCCAAAAGAGGTGATAAGAAGATTTTGCTAAGAAGGCAAGGAATGGGAAGGGGAAGAGAGCATATCCTACAGGAAGGACAGGTAGAAAACAAAACTTGAGGGAAAGGGCTGACATGGGAGATGGAAGTGAGATGAGAAGGATCTAAGAAATGTTGCAGAACATACTGTCAGGAAGGGCAGTTTGTTTTTTGTGGAGACAGACAAGAATAAAGAGGCAAGACACAAGATGGTTGATTGAAGTATGGATACATCTAATTCAATCAAATAAAGGTTGATCAGCATAGGGAAGACTGAATTGTAGTAGCATCTATCCAGTCTGCAGGCTTTAGGACTGAGATTTTACTGAGGATGAAAACCCACTGTCAAAAGAATAGACTGGGCAATGACCCCACTCTCCCTTTTGGTCACATCTGATGTGTGGAACATGGTTTCCATAGTCATCCTCCCACCAAGAGATTCAGAGGTCTGGATGGGTGGTCCAGGTTATTCACACAGTACCAGCTTTATTCTGTGCACAGATCACATAGTCCTAGTGTGCAAATCTCTAGTATGACCCAATTATCTCTAACTGTACTTCTGGAAACTCATCAATGACCTCCCGATGTGACCAAATTAGCCCGTAAGTGGACATACTCCCTTCCACAAGAATAATGAAGAGGTAGGACATAGCTAAATTAATTTTTAAAAACTCTCAGATCAAACTATCTACAAATGAGCTTAGAATCATATTCTCTGCATAATGACATAGGAACAGTAGGTGAAAGGGTTCACCATTAAATGAAGAACCAGGAATTTCTATTGGACCTGCCAAGGATAGTTGTCTAATCCTGCACAGACTCAGAAGGTTGGAAGAGAGGTGCCAAAATACTAAGAGGATTGCTTTGGGGTGTCAGTTGCTTATATGGCCTCACTAGCTTCACCATTGTTTCCCTCATGCAAAAAGAAGGAGATTTCCTATATATACACAGGGAAGTGTTCCAAATGAGAAAGAATGGTGGAAATTCAGAGCTCTTTGTCAGATTGAAAGCCTCTCTGTGTAGTGGAACCTCTTCTCTTTGGACATGTTGCTTTTCATCTGTGGAAAGCAACAGTGGAGGGTGAGTTTCAATTTTCATGGAGAATCTGTCACTCCTTTTCTACCAGCGTGTATCACCTCCCAGCCCACAAACCACCCTCAGACTTCTTCACTATGTTTGGGATTGCCATTAAAATGTGCAAACAGAGGCGCTTTCCCTTTGAGAAAACTTAACAGCAGCACAGACAAACAGTCACTGTCCTCTTTTATATCACTGTCATTGCTGAGACAAAGATGAGGGCTGACCTCACACTGCTCTTTTTAAAACTAAGAATGTTTCTGGTGAAACAAACGCCTTGTTTACTTTGGTGACAGTATGCAAACCATGTCATCATAATGGCCAGTCATACATATGGGTATAATATATTGACTGCTGTCTTTAAAAATATACAAGTTTTGTAAATCAATAAATGTTTAATTTGAAAAAAAGGACACAAAAATAAAAAAAGTTTCACTTAGAAGGTAAGAGTAAAGTATAAGAACAATGTTTAAACTGTCTGATTCTTCAATATATAATCACAAACCTTCACCTTTCCTTATAAATTTACCCACTTCCTGTTCCCTGTATATAGACAGAGGCCATCACTGGCAATGCAGGCTGTGGGGGCTACATCACAATGATTAGTTTATATAGAGTGATACTTGTTTTGATACAAATACTAACAATATCATACTTTTATTCACAATGTCTTCCCAGAGCAGACCAAATTCATTCTGCCTCACAGCTCTGTCTGATAGCACTAACAAAGGGAGTGACTAGACAGGTATTTTTCCTGCTGTTTGTGCTGTGTTTCTCGCTGTTCCTTTCAATATTTATTCCATCAACTACTGATGTTAGCACTAATCATGAGTAGAACTGATCTTTTTTCATGAATGTGAAGTACATTTTGATAGTCTATGAGGGCTTATGCTTATCCATAGCATTTCTGCTTGCTTTATTTTGCTTTGCTTTTGGTTTGTGTGATCACCTCTATTAATCATTTATGGTTGTTGTTGGGCATGTCCTGATGACATCTCTCATGAGGTACAGAGGGGGGCCTGGTGTGGGAGTGAACACTACTTCTTTTACCAGCCTTTTGCTCACACAGGTAAGAAGCACAACTGCAAATTTGTACACTGTATTTTTAAATGTACACAGCACTAAACTAACACAGCATCGATTCAAATGCTTACTGTTCTTTGTCAATTCAGCACTATTTCACTTGCAAGACATTAAAAAAGAAAAAAGAGAGAAAAATGATTTGAAAACGTATGCAAGGATGGGTACGGGAGTGGGGATAATGAGAGAGAAAGGTGAAGGAGAAAGAGGACTATGTGATGTGTATGGATGCTTGAAACACACCTTCAAGTGTTAATTAAACATTTCTATGTGAACTGCAGCAACAATTTAAATGCTAGGGAGCAATGCAGAGAAGTTTGCCTCAACTTTGCACAAGCTTCTGTCTGGTCACGCCCTAATCTACAGTTTTAAAATTAACAATCGAAGTGCTTGCAGTGAATAACTCACTCATACATTTCCTCTTATTTATAAAACAGAATCTCCCCAGACAGGAACTAGACATACCGATCAGCTTGCAGCTCTACTCACAACCATCCTTCTGACATTTCTGAAAAACATCCCACATACAACTGCCAACCAACCTCAGTCACTTACCATGCAAGCCAACACAAAATTACACATTAACTAATCACACAGTGCAAAATCACTGCTCTCCCTTTTCAGGCTGTACACAAGTTTGAAACCAGAGACATAAGGGGCAAGACTACAATGTTTATCCGGTTCAAATGTTTATTCTGTGCATTAGTTTGACTTGGCAAGTCTCTACCAATTCCAAATAATAAACAGAGGGTCTATAGCCACATTCAAGCTGTTCTTGCTTCTGTCTTCTCCCAGCAACCGTAGTACTGTGCTCATTTTCTGGGATTCTCTGTTGTTGTTGTTGCTGTTCCTGTGGTTGTTGTTATGTGCCATCAAATTGCTTCCAATTTATGGCTTGTGAATGAGCAGTCTCCAGAATGTCAACAGCTGTGGTCTGCTCTTGTAGGCTCAAGCCTGTGGGTTCCTTCAGTGAGTCAGTTCATCTTGTATTTGGTCTTCCTCTTATCCTGCTGCCTTCTACCTGTCTGAACATTTTGGTCTTCTCCAGAGAATCCTGCCTTCTTATGATGTGCGCAAAGTAGGACAGCCTCATTTCAACATTTTTGCCTCCAGAGATAGTTCAGGCTTGGTTTGATCTAGGACCCACTTGTTTGTCTTTAGTACTGGGTAATTCTACATGAGGGTAGTTTCTGTTGAAATCTGTGTGTATATATACATAAACTTCTGTATTAAAAAGCCAGGAAATGCAATTCTTTTAAAAAATATTCTTATTTATGAATGTGAGATACTGTATTGTGCTTCTGTATCCATGGTTCAAACTAGCAGGAAATGGTCCAATCCTGCTGCAATATATCATGCCCATGGTTTTTTTTAAATTTGTCAGAAGGAAAAATAATACCATGCTTCGCATAGCAAAGGGTAGCCTGAATGTTGGCAACACTAATGAGAGCAGTCAAGATGGTCTACACAGGATACCTTCTTTGCTCATTACCATAAAGTGAAAACAAAAAAAGAGGGAAAATCCCAGAAGCTGACTCCTTTTTTCATCAGTAAACCACTTCTCAGCCAAACACAAAGTAATAGTCAGGGCTGCTATTCTCATAAGTGTGAAAATGAGTAAACTGAGCCTGTCATACCAAACATATAATGAAAATACAAAACTGACCAGAAAAGATAATATTGCTGAGAAATGTCTAGTTCCAAGTTATAACTTTTTTTCGTTTGGGCTGCCACCATTTTTAGAATTGCCTTGTATAATGTTGATTTGCTGTCCTGCACAATAACAACTCTAAATGCCAATGTGAAGGTATAGCTGAAACAAATTTTGGATTAGCTTTTTCACAAGGACATTCTACTTTATTCAAAACATGTGGCCTTTTAAGGGCATTCAGGAAAATTGCTTTATGAGGTGCAGAAACTGTTGTTTTTCCCTTAATCCGTCCATACCTGGAGTCATGAAGTAATGTTCCGGGCACAGTTATAAGGGATAATCTATGAAGCATTACTAACTGATTTTGCACAAAGTGCTCCACCAGCATGATTAATAGATGATCACACCAAGCCTTCTACTTAATAGTATTTTTCTTCTAGTTTTAAGCTTTAATATCTCACCCTTGTGCATTTGTGGTAGGTTGGGGACATAGTATTGACTCATGGACATAGCATTTCTAATATGCGATCAAGTTCTGGAATGGAAAAATGTGTATCAAAAGAAATGTATACAGTGGGGTGAGGGGAACCAGCCTAGAGGACTGGCTGGTTCATTATATACTCTTTTACAAGATGCGGACATCCTGACTGTGGCCCTGAGCTATCCCTGTGTAGGTGCTGACATGCTGAATAATCGGATCAAGCACATTGAGGTGAACTTTCCAGGGAGTGGTTCTCTAAGCAGTTGTGATGTCAGGTAGTGAC